AGAAGCTCTGGCAATTTTGTGCTTTTTATTTTTACTACCCAAACATATGCTCTTTGTCTATGGGTATGCTACTTCCTTGAGGTTTTACGCGTTTTCCACACTTGTCCAACATTGCCAGTGGAATCGTCTCAGTACTAATCCTTGGGGTTCTAAGGAAGATGAGCCTACTTTATACAGTGTCTTCCAGCTTCCCTCTGCTCAACCATTCCACCTTCCGTGTCTTTATCAGGCTGAACAAACAGTGCATTTTGCCCGTTGTTATTTCACTCCGTGTAGAGAACCAGGTCTGGCAAACAGACTGCAGTGTTAACGCATTCCATTCATTTGAACACCACCTCACCCATAGCCCCAAAGAGAGGAAGTGAGGGGCTGTGCAGAGTCTAAAATGGAGCGGGATTCACCAAAGGACTACAAAGTCCAGCTTTTGAGGACTTGGTCAAGTACGCTGAGTTGTGTTAATAAAACCTCTCTGGAAGAGAGGCCTGTGAAGCTTTCTCCTTAGACTCCCAAGGAGCAGCATGCAGGTGGACCCCTAGACTTGGCCAGAACAAACATTTCCCTGAGATCAAGACCTCTGAAGGCAGCTTGCCGCTGCCCAGGCCCAGACCCAGGCCCACGCGATCCCGCTGGTGACCGCTGTTTCGCAGGGTCCTTCTACCGGGAGCAGCGAGCCACCCTGCCTTTTCTTCGCCTCTGCTTTCCAGGAGACCCTGCTTCCCTTCCCCCTCTCTGAGCCCACTTGTTGCCGTCTCCCCTGGGACCTGTTTGGTTCCCCCTCTGATTGTGAAAGGTCTGGCTTAGGGCTGACCCCAGGTCAGGACTTTTTCCGCTGTAATCCTGTAGTCGTTAACACAAACCCTCCTCCCTTAATTCCCCAACGGCCTGCAGGCAAGTGTGGACTTGAACAAGATGGGCGCCAGTCCCTTACTTGCCATCCCCGTAAGCATGGACGAACTCGAGGAGGGGGAATGCCTCAGACGGGGCGGCTGTGCTGGAGAGGAGAGGGGCCTCGGAGGCGGGAATCGGATCCAGGATCAAGACAAAGGGAGGTCCTTGCAGCGAGTCCAGGGAAAGCCCAGTGAGAGCAGAGGTTGGAGACGGAGAGCAAAGCGAAGAGATGGGAAGGGGTGGGAAGGGAAGAAGTGGTGGACGAGAGGTTGCAAAGAGGGACGTGAGAAGAGCGGGGTGAGGGACTTAGCGGACTGCAGAGCCACAGAAACGAGACTTGGAACCCCGGAGGCAGAGCACTGCGGGAGGCCGGTCCGCTCCCCGAGGGGTCCTGGCCCCAACACCCGGGGAGCCGCACTGTCCCTGGCCGGACTGCCCCGCTGATAGGTTCTGGAGGCCGGTGAAGCCAGGTCCTGCGGGGCGCAGCTGGAGAAGGGCCTAGCGGGAGTGGGGAGAAGGAGGCCAGGGGGAGTGAGAGGGTGCGGCGGCCCAGATCCTAGCCAGAAGAGGCAGCCTGGCTGCTACCAGTCCGCCCGCCACCCTACACAGAAGGACTCTGACGCTCACTCCCCCAGGGGCCCGCGCAGCATCCCTCCTCCCCAGCCGCCAGAGCCTCTCAATCCCGCCAACTATTCCGAGCGCCAAGGCCAAGTCTGCTTTCTCTCCTGAACTTTCCCAGGACTCTAACCTAGGGTTGGCTACTACCGCTGGGCTCCCGGACACCCGCTGCGAAAACTGGGTGGGGAGAGGGCGTGACCACTAGAACACTGAGCCCGAGTCAGCGGCGCTGGACCCCGGCTGGACCGAGCGAGTCTGCTTTCCCGCGTCCCCAGAGCACGAGTGCTGGGGAGGGCTTCTCGAATTGACTGGAATTTTCCGGAGACCGTACTCGGCATTGCCCAGTCTTTGTCGGGGCGGGGGGAATGAAATGCGTGAATATGAGTGTTATTCTTCTCCCACACGCATGATTTTAATAGACCTATCAGTCACATCCCGACACATCTGCAGATCAGGCGCGCTGCGCCCGCAACTCCTTAAAAAAAATTAATTCGTTTCATCTGCCTTCTAGTGTGTTGAAGGGAGGGTGTCAAAGTCTCGGTGATACCAATAAAAAGGGGCTAGTTAGTTTTGTTTTTAAGTGAGGAGGAGAAGGGAAGAGGAGAGAGGGAAAGACACGGGGGGGGGGGTGTGGAGGTAGGGGGATGGCGAGACCTTCAAGCAAACCACCCTGCTTAGCTCACAGGTGAGTTTCAAAGCCACCCAGATTTCTCACACCAAGTTATGCAAACTTTATCCAGGCTTGACAAAGATTCTGCCCTGTCCTCCACACAGGTTTTAAACAAAATTGCACTAATAGAATGAAACACCACTCATGCGCTGGAAGTGGATTATCGTGTACTGATGAACATAAATAACCTCTTGTTGCTTGGCGAGAAACTGTATCTGTCCTTGAGTTGAGCTCCAAATAAGGCCTAGGAGAAAATTCTCTCCACTTACTTAAACTGGAGAGAGCCTGCCCGGAAACTGGCCTCAATCTCCAGAGGAGTTCCCCCTAATCCTCCTGCTTTGTTTTCAAATTAAGTCATTAGAGAATTTCTCCTCGCCTTTAACACCGGTAGAACCCAAAGGAAGGTGGCTTGGAGGCCCGGCACAAAGAACCAGGCACTGGGTGGAGCTCAAGCAGGGAACACAAAACACACAAAAAAATGAGGGGGCTGAGCTGTCTAGTATTTTCAAGATGATTAACTTTTTGTGTTGTGCTTCACTTAAAGTCGGCCATAACTCCTATGACAGGGAGCCCTGGTTTAGCTGCCCACAGCCAAGGCACATCAGGAATCCCAGAAGCCTAGGTGTTCGTGATAGAGGTGAGTGTGGCAATCCACTGAAGAAGACTTGGTGTTGGCTGCCTGTCACCAAAGACCCTTGTGAAAGGTGGGCTGAACCCTGCAAGTATCCTAGAATTTCTCTGAGGAGGTTCCTGGGGCTCTTCTTCCCGGACAGCCAGAGTGCGGCTCCCTCCTTGGATTCTTAAGCGAGCAAAACAGTTCTGAAAACAACAGAGCAAAAGCCAGCCCTAAGAGAAAAGTGAAGAAAGGAAAAAAGGGGGAGGGGTGTCCTTTTATCACCTTGTCAGAAAGCAGTGGTATCATCCTTGAATCTCTTGCGATCACTTTAAGGAATGAGGGGTTTAAGCCAACTCATCAAAATGACTTTAAAAAACAAATCACACACGTCACTTGTAAGATTAGCATTTATACTGAAAGGTATTCTCCAGTGCAGGCCGAGCTAAGATCTTACTGAATTGATAGAGTAAGTCCACTTTCCAATTGCTCATTCAAAAGAAAAAGAAAGGAAGGAAGAAAGAAGGAAGGAATGAAGGAAAACTGAGGGGGAAATGACGGGAAAGGCGTCTCTCTGGATTTAAGGAAAATTTCCTTCAAAAATAGAATTTCATTTTAAATGACATGATTAATTTCAAAACATATTTGCTGCAGTATAGCTTTTAAATGCAATGTTTAATGCTGTCAGATTATTTGAAGACAAAGTTTTACAGAAAACTTTAAATTCCAGGAAAAAAAAAAACCCTGCAATGTACCAATAAACACCTAGAAAAAATATAATTAAAAATATTTAAAGCATCAAACACCTCAAGATCTGATCAGGGTTAATAAACACCACATTCTGTGTTTACATTCCCTAGCAACCTGCATCCCATTTCACACAGGAGAGGGGGTGGTCTGGTGTGTCTGTGTGTGTGTGTGTGTGTGTGTGTGTGTGTGTGTGTGTGTGTAAGAAAATCTAAAAATTATGTTGCCCTTTCCCAGAGAGGAAGGGGGAGGAGTTGGGGTAGGACCTAGGTGAGGGACACTTCACTTACAATCCCAATTACGTGGATATCAAAGGCACACTGTTTTGGTGATGGTTGTTGGCCCCCATCCTTGCTTGGCCTCTGCCCACCAGTCCCACCATTGAGCACTGCTCTTTCTCCTCCCAACCAGGATCAAGCAGCCTCAAAAACTACCACAGTAGGTGAAGGGCAAAAACACAGCAAAGAAATAAAATAAAAACTTTTCTTTTTAAAGGCCAGAGCTGTGGCAGTTAAAGTTAAAATTTTGTAGTTACTTCCCTTCTGTGTTACCTTCAACTCTACAAAATAATCTAGTTCGCCTTTCTCTTTTCTCACTGAATAAAGCTCCTGAAACGCTGCCCTGGGGCCGAAACGCTGGTGCTTGGGGCTTCCTTACTCTTGGGCCCTACTGATTAATTTCTCCTCCAACAGATTGCTAATTGTATTTTGAACTCACAAAACATGCATATAAAATTAGCACGTTTCAATTTCACAGGGAAACGGGCTTTTCCTTGTTAAACCTTTGATTCAAATTTTGATGCATTTTGGGGGAAATCTCTCTTATTTGATTTTCGGGTTTTTAGATGAAAGATTTGCAGGCTATGTACATCATCTGACTCCTCTTCCCCCACCCCGTACCGCAACGCCTAAAATAAAAAATGTCACAACGCATTTACAAGAAATAATACAAAACAAAACAAAAAAAAAATGGAAATGCTCGGATACAGAGTTTTACAAAACCCAGAATATATCTCCACCGCCTGAGAGGGGATCGCGGTATAAATGAACGAACCAACCCAAAAGAGCGGTAACAACTACAAAATAATAAAACAACAACAACAACAAAAAAACAAACAAACAAACTTGTAAATGTTTGGATCTGCCTTACTACATTTATAACAAGTGAGAACAGCTCGAGGTCCATCACTCGGCCTCAGGCAGGAGAGCCAGAGGGAAGCAAATCCCGGAGAAAGTTACAGTGCCGGCAGTCATACAAAAGTTGGCATCGCCTCGCTGGGTTTTGTCTTTTGTCCTCCCGAGCCGAGAAAAAGCTGTGTGCTTCCACTGCGGACGATAAATACTGTACAAAAGGTTTCGTGAAAACACCAAAGTTCAGTCTAAGATGCCAGTCTGGTGTCAGCGCCTCGGAGTCCCGGGAAAGGTGAGAGAGGGCAGACGTCACCTGGCGGTCCGTTTTCCAGAGCCGTCTTTTTTTACAAGAACGTGAAGACGTCTGTACAAAGTAGAGCTCTGGAGGTTCTGGCGCAGGTCTCACGCTCGTCGTCGCCGGGTTGGCAGCCTCGAGCCACAGTGTCCCCGGCGTCCCCGGAGCGCTAGATATGCGTCAGGGGCACCGTGCCGTTGACGCCCGCGCCCGCGCCTTGGTAGTGCTGTGGCAGCGAGTGCAGCCGGCTTTGGGCCGCGGCAGCCGCTGCCGCCGCCGGGTCGCCACCCTCCCCAGCGGGCAGGTACATGCTGATCATCTCGCGGAGGTCCCCCGGGCACGGCGCCCGCGAGTGCGCGGGGGCCGGCGGACTGCCGCTGGGCTCTGACTTGACTAGCGAGCCCAGGGCGCCTAGGGCACCCGAGGATGCTGCCGCTGCAGCCGCCGCGGCCGCCACAGCCGAGTTCTGGTGCGCGCCGCCAGCAGCTGCGGCGGCGGCGGCTGCGGCGCCGTAGGGGATGCCGCCGTAGCCCGAAGGCGACGCGCTCATGTAGCCCTGAGAGTTGGAGATGGGGCTGTACTGCAGTGCGCCCATGTCGTAGCGGTGCATGGGCTGCGGGTTGTGAGGATGCGCGTGAGGATGGTGCGGGTGAGGATGCGCCGGGTGCGCGTGCGGGTGCGCGCCGCCCGCGCCGGGGTGCTGCCCGTAGGCTAGCTGTGCCTCCTGCATCATGGCTGCGGCCGCGGCTGCCGCGGCTACCGAGCCGGGGTAGGCGCCGTTTGCCCAGCCGTTGACGTGCGCGTAGCCGCCTCCCGCCGCGCCACCAGGGCTCTCCAGGCGCTGGCCCACGGCCGCCGCCCCGACGCCCACGCCCACGCCCATGGCCACGGCCGCACCACCGCCACCTGCGCCGGCCGCCAGCAGCCCACCGGCCAGCGAGTACTTGTCCTTCTTGAGCAACGTCTTGGTCTTACGGCGCGGCCGGTACTTGTAATCCGGGTGCTCCTTCATGTGCAACGCGCGCAGTCGCTTGGCCTCGTCGATGAACGGCCTTTTCTCAGCCTCGGACATGACCTTCCATTCGGCCCCCAGGCGCTTGCTGATTTCCGAGTTGTGCATCTTGGGGTTCTCCTGGGCCATCTTGCGTCTCTGTCCGCGGGACCACACCATGAAGGCGTTCATGGGCCGCTTGACCCGATCCTGGTTGGCCTTGGTGCCCCCGCCGCCGCCGCCACCCCCGCCCCCACCACCGCCCCCGCCCGCCCCGGCCGGGCCCGTGAGGTTCGTGGGCGCCTGGGCGCCGCCGGGCGAGTGCAGATCGGTCTCCATCATCATGCTGTACATCTGGGCGGCTCGCGGGTTCACCGGCACCGCAAAGAGAAGGCCTGGAGCATAGACGGCCGGGTGGGGGTGGGTGGGTGGAGAGAGGATCAGCCCAGAGAGACTGGGGGGGTGCTAGCAGAGAGAAGGGGGTTGGGTGGAGGCAACAACAAAAAAGAGGCAAAAGCACATGCACTTAGCGCGGGTCCAGCTCGCAGGTGGAAAGTTTCTCAGGGTGCACAAACCACTTGCCAAAGAGGCCGACGGCCAGGATGATCGCAGCTGCCGCCGGAGTCCGGGCGCTCTCGGCTGAGCTGTGCAAACAGGTGCAGTCGTGGCTAAGTTGAGATTCCACTTTCTGGCTCTGAAGCGGTGCCACTGGGCCCGACCCCGGGTTCGCTGCCTCCTGTTGGCCACTCGAAGTCTCTTTCCAGTGCTGGCTTCCTTGGCGGCTTCTAACTCCGGGGCCGCAACTTCTAGCAGGGCGGCGTGCCGCGTGCGCTGGGCATGTGCTGGTCCCAGGTGCCTGGGGAGGGCCAGGCTCTAAGCGGGACTCGGAGGGGGGTTCGGTGGGGGCGATCGCGGTTCAGCTAGGGAGGGGGTTAGGGACAGCGGTGGGAGGGCCAACGCGCGCAGAGAGCCGGAGAGTCGGGCCGTTGCACCCAGGACAAGCTGTCCGCTGCCTGCCCGGGGCCGTGCGCTCGGAGCGGAGGCGCACGCGGGGCCGGTGGCGCGGGGGGCCCAGCAGCCATACACCGGGCCCGGGCTGCCATTAAATGAGCGCGCCGCGGCCAATGGGAGCCGCCGGCGGCGTTGATTTGCATGGCGCGCTGGCGAGTGACGTGGGGAGGGAGTAGATACACTGGGCGCGGGCGGCAGAGCAAGGAGGTGGAGGAGGAGAAGAGGGGGGGAAGCAAGGGCAGGAAGGAGGGGGAAAAGGGGGCGCGGGGGGGCGGGGTCACAGCCACACTGCTTCCTGAGCGCGCGCGCGGCGGCGGCGATGGCGGCGAACCCGGTGCTCGCCCCCTTCTCCTCTCCCCTCCCGCGCGCTCCGAATGATTAACGATTGGGTTGAAAACCAAGAGGAAGAAAGAATCGCTGTCGGGGGAGGCGGGGGGGGGAGATATAGCCCTGGGTCGTGTTTAAATGCGTTCATTGGAGACCCAGCTCCTCCCTTGTCCCTTGTCCCCAGCTAGCCAACTCTGCGCCGGCAGGGAAGGAGAAAGTTGGAGGTAGAGGCCGCACTTTGCTCTCAGCTGGAAAGCAGAATAACTGCGTTGCGGGGGAGATCTTCCGAGGGGGAGCTTAAGCCCAATGCACCACTGCTGGTTTTCAGGCCACGCAGTCTGTCTCACCCCCGGCACGCAGTGCGTTCTCCAAAGCCTGATCTAGCAAAGGCCTTTCCAGATCCCGGATCTGTAATTCGGGTCTCCGTGGATGGAGGTGCAGCCTCTTTTGGGTAAAGCAGGACTCACAGCTTCCTTATTTACCCTGAACTTTCTTTGGGAGGGGAGTGTCTTTTAGTGGATCGGGGTGTTATAGTCAGGTACACTTCCCGACTTACTTTCTCCTCTTGAATTTCTGCGAAGGTCAAAAACATATTCTATCTGGAATCTAATCACTTCATCAGTCAAAAAAGTTTGTTGAAACAGCGAAAGAATTCTTATCAACCCCATTCTTTTCTGGAGCGGTACTCCCAGGACTTGGAATACGGTGTGAACTCGGGATGTGGGAGGGGGATGCTGAAACCCAATTGCAAGGGTGCCTCCTATCAGGTGACAGTGTTGCCCTTTTGTTTTGTTTCTTCCTACGTTGCGGGGGTGGGGGGAAAGCCAGTTCTGGGGTGATCAAGGCATACCACATATGGCTGTAATTCTTGAATCTCAGAGCAAGTATGCTTCCGGGGTGTACAGGAAATTTCCAACCCAACCTCAGCCAACATGGGTTCAGACCGCCATTTCCAAGAGAAAGGTGGGGGTTTTATTTAAAAGCAGAAGTTCTTCAGGCGTCCTGGGGTGGGGTGGGGTGGAAATAGAGGGTGTGTTTTTACTCCTGGGAGAAAGGTGCCTCAGGAGATTGCTGTTGTGCAAGGCAGGCCTTGGAGAATGCTTGCAACAGCCCTGTGTGTAATCCCAAGGCTCTTCTGATGGCAGAGATAACGGATAATAGGAAGAATAAGGATGTCCCAGTGTGTTGGGCGTTGAGCATAAGACAGTTTTTTTTTTTTTTCTGTTAGCAAAAATATCTGAGGCTGTGAATTCCCTGGCCCCATTGCTTCCTTGCTATGATTATTACATTGGTTTATTTTCTTTTTCTCCCAGGTTGGTTAGAGCACAGTGCAGTAGCAAATCCATCCCTCTGCCAACTGAACTTTGATTTCAGGCCATCCAGTACTTACTAAACTCATCAAATAATACAGAATTATGCTAGAAAGGAAACATCGTTTCACATTTTTATAAACATCCAGGTTTTAAGCTTAGTTTTCAGCTGCTTTCTTAAATCTGCAATCATGTTTATTAAATCTTTTGACCTGTTTCATGAACTACCTGCGAATATCAGTTACATTGTAAATGAACAAAAACCAACAGGAATGTTGTTTAAGAATTTGGTAGGACCATTTTCCTTTGATAATTTAGGAGGCGATGGGTGTGCAGAGAGATCCACTGTGTTAGGAGAAGTCAGCAAGACTGAAATAAAGGAAACACTTTACAAATTATAAACTATATTATCCACTTAGCAATTGAAAGATTTCTTTCCTGTGCTTTTCAATTTAGATTTTAAACTAAATAGCCAAAGACCCCCTGAAAACGCTTTGTATGAATAAAGCTTGGCACATTGTTTTCCATATCAATGGGGCAATTTATTTTACAAACACCCTGCACTCCAGTGAGCCTTGCAGGAATGCTTTATGCTTTGGGGAACTTGGATAGATGACTTTGAAATGGTCTGATTTCTTTCTACCAAGCCTTGAACATTGTTTCAAAATAGGATGTTACCCTTGTTCTCCAGAACATCTAAATAGGAGGTAAATGACATCACATTGCATGCAACCATGTTGGTGCTTGCTATTCTGGGTACCACTCTTCGGAAGCCCGGTTTAGTAATAAACTGTTCCCAGCCCAAGCCAATGCAAACCCAGTGGGTGCCACCTGCAGAAGCAGGAAATCAGAGATACAGGTGTAACTTGTCAGTATGGGAAGATTGACAGCAGTCATGCCAGCTAAGCAGTGGTGAGCATGGTGTGCCAGATCTCCTTGTGCCTTCTGTCCTGGATGAGCAGTGACAAACACTGCAACTCCTGTCAGTGACAACTTCTGGAAGCCTCTGGTTCTGGATTCTTCTATGCTCACTTCCCCAAAGGTGCTCTCTCTCTCTCTCTCTCTCTCTCTCTCTCTCTCTCTCTTTAAATATTTCTGTCTGCTTCCCATCGTCCCCCAGCCAGCTTGGTGGGGCTGCCTCCCAGCTTAATGTCATCCTAAAAACTATATTCTTGATGATATGAAGACTGACTTACTATGTTCAAGTAACACTAGAGAAAGTCCAGAATCCAAGTCAAGGTTTACTTCCACTGTTAATTGACCAATTCTGTTCCTTCAGCAACTCAGAAATTTCACTGTGCCATTGCTCAAAATGCCAAAGACCCACTTAGAATAGTAGCTAAGTTTTTAGTCAACCTGTGGTTATAATCCTCAGAAAATTCAGGTCAATCCATTGCCAGAGGAAATTATGTGTGCCTATATTTGTAAATGAGCATAGGTAAATTATGAAGGTGTGTATATATGGAAATGTTGTGTTTAAGCTTTTGCACAAAAGCCTTGACTTTCAAATAAACCGGAGTCCTGGATTTTAAACACCATGAACTGGAAACCCTGACGTTGAATCACCAGTACTTTCACTCTCTTACACACAACTTTATGCTCATGAGAAATGTTTGTTGCAAAGAGGGCCCTTGTGGACAGAACCCTTTGTCCCCCCCCCCTTTAAAGGCCAGCTATGATCAGCATTACAAGCTTCGAACAAGTTAAGTTCATGGGGACTGTGCAAGACTAGAAATTATTCCATGGGAGGTCCAGACTATTTGCCCTGGTGACAATCTCCTGGCCATGTTCAGAACAAGACCTTCAAAGGCTGGTGAGCCACTTGGAGGACAGAGGACACGTGGAGGTGCCTCCTGGGAACTCCCAGGGGCAAAGATTTCCAGGCTCTGAAGTACCCTCGAGGGGCTGAAAGAATAGTTGAAGATCTCTAGCTAACCATCAGTTTTTAGGCATGACTGTGGAGCGGCAAAGAGTAACGTTTAGCAGAAGGTGGCGGCAGTAAAGAAAACTCAGGACAGGGAAAGAATACTGCAAGTTGGAAAATGCCTCCGAGGTCAACTCGGCCAACAGGAGGCGCAGATTACCGGCCAAGGGGGAGGAAAGCAAATCCGACAGGAGCATGCTCGGAGGTTGTAGCTCCATCCCGGGACCTGCAAGCAAGAGGTGGAGGGCAACGCGCTGGAGCCCGAAGCCCCTAGGCTTGTCAGTGTGGACCCTGCCCGTGGCGCGGGCCGCGATCGCCGTCTGCTGGTTGCCACCACCTTCTCTGTCCTCGCGGAGGAACCTCCGGCTGTCACCTGTGTGGCAGAGGCGCCCCTCGCCCAGCTATGGCTACCGCAGCGCCACGAGAGGGTTGGCTACCCGCCAGTACAGGGTTTGAGTTTCAGCGCGCACCTCTGACCGGGAGCTCTAGGTGGGGCGCCTTTCCTCTGGGTCATCTCTAAGCCTTCTCAGCCGATCTCCTGGGGCCCAGCCCGAACTAACTTGGGGGGTTCTTCGCAAACAACCAAAGGATCCCAATTACAAAGCTGCGCGGTCTGTTCGTTGTTGCTGATTTGTTTTAAAAGAGGGAAAGGAACAAAATCGAGAAAAGCGGGGAAAGTCGGGTGGGGACAAAGGAAAAGATTCACCCACAAATAAAGAACTTTGGGCGATCCCCACGTCTTTTCCAGCATCCGGCAAAGCCCATCTCCCGAGTCGCTTTCAGCTTGAAAGCAAAGACTCCTCTCCTCTGAATCGCGGCGTCTGAGTTTAGGGAGCCGCCGCAAGAGCGCCTGTGGGAAATGGGTAAATAAAGTCCTCGCGTCT